TGAGATAACAGTGGATGTCTTAAATGGTGTGCAGTTAGTTGTATTTGGAGCTCCACGTGCTATGTTTTCAGAAGCAGAATTTAATTGTCTTCATAAGTATATTGATCTTGGAGGATCTGTATTAGTTATGTTTTCTGAAGGAGGCGAAAAAGAACTACATACCAATATAAATTATTTATTAGAAGAATTTGGTATAATGGTTAATAGTGGTAAGAATATTTAAAGTTTAAAAGAAATTGGCAGTTAAACAATCGCTCTGCTGTATAGTTGGAATCGAGCTGGTAGGTCACTCTAATGGAAGTGTTAATTAGACGTCTCGTCCGCATATGTTGTCTCTGTCTTACACACTTAGAACATACCAAAGTTTTGTTCAGTAATTTCAATAATGTGTTATTAGTTTTAATATCAGAGTGAATTGACCTACTATCAAACTTTTAGGGTAGAACATTGTCTCTGTTCTCTTTTTGGTTTTTTTTTTTGCAATATTTTAATCTTTAAGAGAGTTATATAAAGTATTAATATTTTAAAATGCATTAGCATATAGCATAATTCACTTAAAAATATTGTAAAAAACCAACGAGGGAATATAGATAATGTTCTTTACCTAAAGTTTGATAGTAGATAAATTCACTCTAATATCAAAATTAACAGCTCACTATTGTAACTAATTTGGTATGTCATATATGTGTAAGATGTCCTCTTAAATTCAAACGATAAATTATTGCATAAGAAAAACAATTCTGATGTTCTGTCAAACTATAATACATCATTTTATCGTATAATATTTATATTGCTATTGATTAATAATTAATATTATAATATAACAATTATTGTTTACTATTAGTAGTACAATATACTATTAAATAGGCAAAAACTATTAAAGTTAATCTAAATATTTTGAAAATTCATTGTGAATAGATAAATATGATAATAAAGTATGTCATAATTTCAAGCCATCATAAATATTTTTGAATTACAACAAAATAACTAAAATCGTTATTTTTAGTTTAAATAGATACCCAATTTTGTCAAAATTTGTACTTCAAATGCCTACAAAAAAAAATGTGTGCAAATATATTTTTTAGAATTTTGAGTTTCAGTAAGAAATTACTTACTGTGACATTTGTATTACATTATCAAGCCTTAACTATAAAAAATAAAATTTTATACATTTTTTCTTTAATTAATTGATACTATATATTACATTTTTATTATAAGTAACTGTTTTGTTTATATTTTTATTTTTAGACTATGTATTACGCACACACTATTATTTATATTTCCACCCAAAAGAATGTCTGGTTAAGGATGGTGTTGTTAATGAAGCTGTGGCTAAATATTTGGACCGAGAAAATAAAAACACATCAAAGTAAATCAACAGTTAATATATCTATAATACACATATATTAATATTTAATACAAGTTTTTTCATGATTATTTTTTTTATAGATAATTTTTTATTGCAGGTAAAATATAATGTTAATTATTTTTAATAAGGTATTTTTAGAAATATTCTCTTAATGGATAGAATTCCGGTTTTTCCCAATCATCAAAGGCAACAATTTGTAAAAATTGCAACAATGTATTTCAAAACAGAAAAATTGAATTTGAAAAAAATTATCTTTGTTATTACTGATGGTGCACCAGCAATGGTTTGGCACTCATCAAGATCTTTGTTCAAAAATTAAAGTATGACTAAGTGTACTTCTTGCATTTCAAAGTGTCCTCTGATGTAAACTGGATTTGGGTTTGGAAGAAACTTCAGCCCAAACAATTCACGTCACTTATTCAACAATTTGATATTCAGTTTGACAATTTACTACTCGTTAACAATATTAGGTGTCAAAGCAAAGGAAATATTTTGAACAGATTTTTTCATTTACTTACTGAAATTGAACTATTTTTTACTAAGAGTAGGTTAACCTACTACTAAGTAGTAGGCTGCCAAAAATTATTTTAAATTTATCAATGACAACAGTAATGTTGTGAGTTTTTCGCAAGTATATTTCAACATATTAATTCTTTGAATTTAAAACTTTGAGGTGACCCAAAACTATCATGCAAACTATCAAGCAGTTAGTTGAAAGCAAGACTTGCCATTTTCGCCACAAAATTTAACCGAGTCTTCTATTTTTATTATAATTAATAATAATTATTAATGTCCCACTATGTTACCTACTTTTTAATTATTATAAAATATGTTCAAAATATTTACCTTGAATTTTGAAAGCCTTCGAACATTTTTAAAATTCCCCATGTGGCCCTCCAAAAATATTAATAAGTGGCCCCTGTTCTATAATTTGTTCTACTAGAGAAAGTAACTCAGTCATGCATATAAATGGCAGAACTCCACCACTTTGACTTGTTCTAACAGGAAGGTCTCAGGGTGGTTTTCTGGTGAAGAAAGTATACCTTAAATTTCTGGTAGCTATGATGTTGAGTTATTATTCAATATTCGATATACTTGTTTGTGAAATATCGGCAGATAACTCAACAATTGTTTGATGCTTTATATACCGGGGGTATACAAATTTTTTTTATTAAGATCTACTGAGAGCATATATTTTTATTTGAGAATCAACTAACGTAAAAAATATTATTTTTATATATTGAAGTCTTTTGAAATTTGCTAGGCTAAACCGGTGTGAAAAATAATGTGTCATTATATATAATCAGCCAGTCAATTATAATCTGAGTTATAGTAGCTAATTGCTATGCACGAAGATGCTGTCTTAAACTTTTATAAGAAAATGTAGCTCGGTGTTCTATTGTATAACTTTCATGTAAAAAAATGCGATTTCACACAAACAGAAAGACCTGAAATATGTATGCAGATGTAATCTACTAAATATACCTAATAATAAGTTCTAACAAATAGATATATCGACTTTGGAAACATCCGAGATTGATTTGTTAATCGTGACCGACCATTTCACTGTCCCAGTTATATATTCATATTTATCACCTAATAAATGACAACAAAGATAAATTCAATTTTCTTTTTTTGCCTTTAATTTTTTCTAGACTTTTTATCATAATAATAGATATTAAACAATTTTCAGATGTATAAGTTTTGTATTTCCTTATGGTGCTAGCTTAAATGTGGCAAAACCAGCTGCTCCTATACTTACTAGTGGTTCTGTTGCTTATCCTCTTAATAGACCACTCTGTGCTTTTTATTCTGCTTCAAAGTATTCCAACAAAGGTACCAGAAACAAATAATTAATAATGCACAAATTGCATTATATTGTGTTTATTTAATTCACCCTTTGCACTTTTTCATAAGATTAAATAGTGTACATAAAATTAATTACATGTCGTTAGTTTGTTGATTGTTTTTAATAATTATATCTTTACGATTAAAGTAATATTCACTAATATAATAATTCAATTAACATATTATTATAGCCAAAAAAGGAAAACTTGCAGTCATTGGTTCTGGTCATTTGCTAACAGACAAATATATTAATTGGGAAGAAAATGATAAAGTCCGTGAGATTTTGTTTGATTTCTTGATCACAAATAACATAACTTTAAATGAAATTGATGCTAACGATCCTGAGGTACATATCAAGTTATTATATTTAAATCCATATATCTAACCTTAATATCCAACTTTAAATTATCAATTTTATGCCAGGTTGCATGAACAATCACTAAAAATTTAACGAATCCGTAGTGAGCAAATGATCCTTTAAACATGATTTAGTGGTCCATAATTGGTCCATTAAATTTTATTGGACCATTAAATTAAAACATTTTTCATGCAGCCAGGCATTAGTCTTTTACCAGACAACTAAATCATAGAAAAATTATATGTATCAAATCAGGAAAAATAAAATACTTTTTCTATAAATTTACTACACTGAACTATTCTACTGTATACTCAACAAGATCAATATTAGTTGGACCCAAATTTTCAAAACATGGACAAAGCAATTTTTTTGATTATTTTAGGCTAAATATATTGCAAAATAACTGACAGAGAATCTACAATTTAGTTTTGATAGTCGTTGACATTTAATTGGACAACTTTTAGTAACATTTTATACAATTTAAAATAAAACAAGTACCAACAACTAAATTGTGTATTATATTCTTAATTAATTTACTAATACCCTATAAGATAGCAATGTTGAATGTCTGCATAAATACACCACAGATCATACCACGTGCTATAATATATTCATACCATTTTGTTTTTCACATTACCTATATTATATTTGAATATTTTTAAGTATATTTGAAGTTAATATAAAATATTTAATTTTCTACTAATGTAATACATGTTGTTATCTTTGTTCAAGACTTCAGATTATAAAATGGTACCGGATATTGGAATGTTATCATCTCGTGTTCGCACTTGTCTACAGCTTCAAGAAAGTTTGAACAATACGAGTCATTTTTTATTCTCAGCTGACAACATAAATTCTCTTATAGACACTAAATTGTGTTCTTTAAATACCACAATGCTACCAGATACAGTTGAAGCGTATAAAACATTGAATGTACCCCACAATCAGTTACAACTCATTCCTCCTACGTTCAATGACACCTTGCCTGCTTTACAATTTGCTGTAAGTATTAAATTCTAAATATATAAATTAATTATTTTTAATTGTTCAAATACTATTTATCTTTTAGGTATATCCACCTCCTTTTCAAGAATTATCATCCCCATTTTTAGAACTATTTGATCTTGATAGTATATTTGGTTCTGAAAAATCATCATTGGCAAATTTGGCGAAGAGTTGCTTAGAAACACAATCTAGCGAGAAAAAAATTGAAGAAAGCATCAATCAATTTATTATTGATATTAATGACAATTTAGAAATAATTGATCACATTAATGACTCTAAAGAAATAATACAAACAGTATTTTCATTAATAAATAATTTTAAAAAGTAATTATTTTATCTTTAATTAGTGCACCTAGATAACATTTGTATTACCTATATTATAACTTTATTATGAATAATAAATATTAAATAGTATTTTTGCACTATGAAAACGTTACATTTTCATTTATTTATATTTTATTTTTACATAATATTTTAGAAGCCTATGTAATAAATTACATTTATCCTACTTAAATATATTTATTTACAATTTATTATAGATTTTTAACATTATAGAAAAAGCTTAATATATTTGATTGCCACAAAGCATTCTGGCAGTCTTTTGTACTTGACACATTGAATTATTTTTATACTGAGATCCTGCAGATCTCATATCTACACTTTCTTCCATGTGCCTTTCTTTGATTTGTATAACATATAAGATATTGCGTAGAATATCAAAGCCCAAATTAACATCGAAACAAATCCCATATAAACTGCCGTGTGATCAATAGACCAACCACGCATGGTTATACCTCGTAATGCTTCAATAGCCAATGTAATTGGGACGAATTTGTTGGTGTATTTAACAAAATGACGAGCTCCTTGAGTAGGCCAAATAAAACCTAAAAATAAAGTTTGTTTGAAAAATTGTAATTTGTTAAGATAATTTAATGATAATTTATTTACCACAAGCACACATCAACAAAAAATTTGTGCCAACTCCAGCAAATCCAGCTGCAAAATGACTGTCATTTGACAAAGCCAATACAAAACCTTAAAATAATAAATATTAATTAAAAAAAACTTATTATGCATAATTTAAAAAAATAATAAATCAACAACAAGATACTCTCGATAACACTAACCGTATATCATTCCTGTTATTCCAATGACTATGAGAAGACTAAATCCAATCGTAATCGATCCAATGTATGGATTGTCGTAAAAGACGTACATAATTATTAAAATTTCAATAGCTTGGATACATATGTATGTAATTTGAATGATTGAATGAGCTAATGCAATTTCAATGTATGTCATACCAGAAGTTAATACCCGGTCCAGTATTCCATCATTTTGCTCATCAAGCATAACAAAAGTTGTAAAGATCAATGGCAAGAAAAACATACATCTAAAAATATTTTTGAAAAAACATAAAATTACAATTTATAAATGTAGGGCCATATGTTAGATACTGGTATGTAAATACACAATTAATATATTTACTTAATTCATTAAATAATAAATATTGAAGAGTGCTGTTCTATCAACTACCTAATTTTAGCATACAAATAAATGAAAATTTAGAAATACTTACATGCATACTGTTCCTGGTGCAACAAAATGAGCAAAAGACCCTGAATTTGAACCATACAGAGCATCATGTATCTAAAACAGGTACAATAAATGATTTAAGAATATTAACAACAAAATGCTTGGATAATATGACGGTTTATAGTTTACGGTACCTTAATTGGATAATTAAAAACTTTATCCAATGAATCTTTGCAAGAACCGACTAGATTTTTAAAAGCATCCGCTAAACTCAATGTCACGTCTCTTTCAATTAAAATCGACATATATCTATCTAAAACATATCCATAAGACTGAATGAATTAAACCATTATTTTAAAATTTTTTAAAAATTAAAATCACCTGAATCGTCGACCCAAAACTCCAAGAAGCTATTATCAACTACATCTTCCAAACTGTTTTGACCCGAGTTGACTCTTTCTTTCAACGATTCCGTATAGTTAAAATTGAACCGTAACAAAGCCCAAATTTCATTTTTTTTTACAGACGCTTTTGCATCTTCAATATTATAATAGTCTTTCTGCACATATTACCATTTTTAATTAATAATATAAATGGTTGGCATGTTAAAAAAATAAAATATATACATGTATTCTTATTTACATACAATTTTGTAAGTTCTTTTATGAAGTTGATAAATCATTTGACAACTCCCATAAATTTTTTCGTTCAAGAAACAATTATTATTGTTTTTATAAGTAAAATTTGCACAGTCTCTTAAATTTATTTCTTCATTTATAATTCCAATTCTAATATTCTTGGGATCACGTCCAATCGCCATGTTGAAAAATAAAGTTATAATGATTGGCAGGCCCAGCATCAGGTAAGTCATTCTGAAAAATGAATTTGTATCAAATATTATATAAAAACAATATCTCAACGATGTTTGATATTATTATGTATAAATAAATAAATAATAATTAAAATATTATTACTGTTTATTTCTCCACAGTAAAAATCGATTTTTCAACATCTGGGCCCGAAATCGTCTCGTTTCGAATTTTCTGTTATTGTCTAAAGGTAACAGTTTTTTTTGTACATCACCATCAATAGGCAATGAAGACTTCTAAACAATAATGTAACTTTAATAAAAAATATAATTTTTCAATACAATATAAATGTATAGTAAACATATCATTTTTTTATTGAGTTAAGGTTATTAGGTTTTTACAATACTCATACCTAATATTACCACTGGCGCTTAGTATAGGTACCTACATATTTTAGTTACGTATTAGTTATTTAGGTAGGTAGAGCAACTATAAGTCTATGAATACATTGGCGCAATTAGAGATATTTTTGGAGGAAATAAAATCGTAGTACCTATAGAATATAGACCACGTTCTCACGTGGCCGGAATATGGTTGTTTACGTGACAACCCCCCCCCCCCCCACCTTATGGACTTTTTTACAATGCAAAATAATTGACATTAGCAGAGCATTTTTCATGTATTCGCTGTAAGTGACAAATAATGATAATACTATGACGTAAGTATTTATTTTTGAGATAAATAATTAATAACTAATAATTTTTGATTTGTTATATATATTTGTTATTGACTATCGACCTAATCAAAATGAGCTTTTGATTTGCAAATATAGATATTGATATAAATTAATTGTATTTAGTTTGATGATACAAAAATTACGGAGGAAATTATAAGGAGCGAGCCCCCATTCGACTTACTTTAAATTAAACATTTTTAGCTCTCCCAAGTTTAAGATTGAATATGTAGGTAACATTGGAAAGTATATTTTACAGGTGCCTAGGAGAAAATAAATTATTTACTTGTATGACTTTTGACGTATCAATCACACACAACTTGAGGAACACGTCTTCTAAAGTTGAGCATCCGTAACACTTAAGTAAATTTTCCGGAGCATCTTCTGATAATATTATTCCGCTTCTCATCATACCAACTGTGTGCGCTCTTCTAGCTTCCTCGATATAATGCGTAGTAATAATAATTGTCTTGCCTTCAGAAGACAAGTCAGATAAATGTAACCAGATTCTAATAAAACAAAACGCTTTTATTATATATGGTACGGACGAATGGTTACATTGGTAATCATAGACTGTAGGTAGGTAGACATACTTTAGCTATCTTATTTTAGTAGGTATACATCATATTATAATTCTTACTTTTCGCTCAGTATTGGATCCAAACCAACAGTAGGCTCGTCTAATATTAAAAGAGTTGGATTATGGAGAAGAGCCACTGCGAGGGAAACTCTCCGTTGTTGACCTCCACTAAAAAGAATATATTTTTATAATACATTGAGTTTCTATACGTAGGTACAGTTTATTCACTTTAAATTAAACTCTAACTCTTGCCACACACTACAAAGTTACCAAATATTGATATAATTGATGAATTTTTAACTTTGAGTGCTAAAAAAATTGTACAATGCATAACTCGGCAATTTTTTTAACTTACACTTCGCCGATAGGCGATGGCTGCCACTTAAAAATGTCAAGCATGCCACTGAATTTTGCATAGGTATCTGTTAAATATCAGGATTCTAACAAAGATTTCATCCTTAAAAGGTAGGTACCTAATATTTTGTCGCTATGCTTACCTTAAATTGTTTATTAACATTTTTCGTTTAGGCAAGTCAAATAAAGCATTGAAATATTTGTAACGACTTATAATTTCATTTCGAGAACGACCAAAAATTGTTCCAAAGTAGAAAAAAATTTCTTCGACGCTAAGTAAAGGATCTAGACATAAATCCTAGAAACATAATTATAATAACATTTATGTATTGTATTATAATATTGTTAATAATATGTTGAATAAGTCCAATCACCTGCGGCATGTAACCAATATCATCAATTACATTTGATTCTAAATTGATGACACCGTTATCCAATTTCGTTCGACCGACTATACAATTTAAAAGGGTTGTTTTGCCACAACCACTGGGTCCTAATAGACCATAACTGAAAATAATAAAATAATTCATCAAAAACCGTATTATACATATTATTATTTGATATTCATATATGAAATGAATTGATTAGTAGGTACGTATTTTATTTGTAAATCTAATAATAGTAAATAATACGTTTATATACATTGTATTTCTACGGACGGTCAGGGATACTCCTCTCAGCACCATAGCCGACGAATTATAGCTTTTAAACGCACTTCGTACTTCGACCGAAGCGAGCGGTGGCGGCTGTGGTGGCTGTGGTTGGATAGCGTCCCTACACATCCTATTAAACAAAACAAAGCAAAACATCACATAAATAATAAGTATAAAATTATTTTTTTTAATGAGAGAATTTATACAGTCATCATACTGTAGGTAAATATATAGGTACCTAGGTCTCTGGATAAAAATATCAAATATTTGATTTTTTTTTTTTTAGTTCTTTAAAATTGCAGTGTGCACATTTGAAATGGGCGATTGTGCACTCCACCAGAATACCGGTTAGATAAAAAGGTATGCTTAATGGAAAACCCCGTATAACTATCGTCATGCCAACAAATATCACTGTTTAAGTACCATTATATGACTGGTATAAATACGAGTCAATACCTACCTAACTCTCTCTCTCTCTTTTCAAAAATAATTATATAGCTACCTATAAGTACTTACTACTTATACTGTTGTTAATTATTTACTGTCAGTTCCGTGACCATGGTGCCCACTCCGGGTTACAGCCCTCTCATCATGAAGATAGAGATAAGGAGACCGAACTATACAATATGTACCATATACTTACGTATACAATATAGGCCAAAAAAGCACACGCTCCTAGTGGCAGAATACCCATGCGCTTTTTGTCGGACCACTTTTATAAGAGGCAGTGATAGGAGTTTGGTCTCCTTATCTCATCTTCATGTCTCTCATATTTTCAACCATATAGTCAATAGTCATAGGTATTGATACAATGATTCACTCTTAACAAAGTTCATTAAGAACAAAAAAAGACAAGTTTGAAGTTAGTTAGGTAGGTCACAACTTAAACATAAGTTTGGACTGTTGTTATTTTTAATATGACTAATTATAAGGGGAATCAGTTGGAAATGTTTTATTGTACTGGTTAAAAAACTTGCATTTTATAATTTCTCAGTATTTATTGAGAAAATTACTAATTAGTAAATACTGAATGAATGCTATCAATTGGCAAACACTTCGCTGTTTATTTTAATCCAGCACAATTTGTACGAACACTTAGGAGTTATAACTTTTTTAACGATATTTAAAGCATCATGTAAACAAATTATAAAATGCGAACTGAGATACAACGTTGGAATCATACTTGGAGAACACTATATGACATATCATTGCTTTCAAATTCAAAGACACCCGTCCCAGTGACCCACCTAGTTCTTGTACCTATCTCGCTAAACGGCTTTTTTTTACATATCTTTCATATTTAACATTAATTACATACCTTATATCTACTGCTATGACTATGGTAGTATGGCATTATATTATTATATAATATAATATAATAATATAGAAACTCACGAAGTTATACGTAGGTAACCTAACCTACCTCCTATATTAAATTTTATTGTCTCAATAAGATAGCGAGAAACGTAATATTATATATTTATATCGGTAAGCTATTATAAAATAGTCAACATAAAAACGAAATGATGTAATTATTTAATTTTGCCGATGTGTAGTTTTATAATAATTGGTAATAATTAATAAGACATATTTAATATCTACTTTAAATATATAGGTATTTTATTACCTACCTATCTTATTGAAACAACATTGTTTTGACCTTGACTTATATTAAATTATTCAAATTTTTAAAGTGAAAATTACTTACGTATAGTTTTGTAAAATTATACTATAATTAGAATTGTTATAAAAAATATTCAAGTATTTGTAACAATATTATAGATGACCCATTTTCTTCAAATTTTTATTACCCTAAACGGTATTTTTAAATGCATGTTAGGTACCTACTCCATTTCAGAAGGCACCTAAATACCAATATTAAACATATTGGGGGGTATTCAATTGTGATTATTTGTGGTACAGGTACTTATTTAAAAATAATAAATGTGATATTGATAATTTTGTAGGTAGGTAGGTACCGGTTTTTATATTTATAAACAAACCTTCCAAGTTTAATAGCGTCCTACAGTATGAACTAACAATTAACAATTACATCAATTATATATTCTCGTATAATATAATATATACAGAGTAAAGGCGTATTATAAAAATGTCGTAAAAAATAATCAACCTATTAAATTATTTAAGTTTATAGAATAAAAAGAGTAGCTTGTAGTAGACTTATCAATACTTTACTGAAGGTTAGTTCATGTATAATTAATTTAAAGAAATGATTATAATATTATTACAAAATTAGGATGAATACTAGTTATGTTATTTTAACTACTAAATACGCATGGTACTTTAGCACTGTTGTCAGGTACCGATGTATAGTTATTTATAGTATAAATGTTACAAATATATCATTATAAATCATAATAATTTTAATTTATTTAAAACTCTTCAGGCAAAGTTGAAGTAATTCATAATATAAGATATTTTTGTATTAGGTTTATACACCAAATAAGCATTTATTCAATACATTAATTTAATATTAAAAAAAACACTGATAGAAAAAACTGGGTATGGGTAAAAAAAGTATGTAAATATTATTTTAAACTTGAAAGCAATCAATATCTTATTATTCTGATAAATTACTGCATTCGAAAAACATTTTTTTTTATTTACTGAGAATCACAGACCTTTTTACAGTGTCCACAAAACGTTTAAACAATTTCAAGAGCTCGTACAAAGTAATGATACAAGGTTAATGAAAAATCAAACATAGTTCATATGAAGTAGGTAACCTTGTAAAAGTAAATAAGTTGTACACTTGTACTATAGTTTTAAGTATAAATAGGTACATCGTATTTGAAAATTAATTATTTATAATATAAAAATAATATTATCATCACGTCTTTAAAATTACTTATTTTTGTCAAATACTAAATTATATTTTTATAACAATGGTCTAAACTAAATATTAGGTAAAAATCGTAGGTAAGTTTAAAGCAGGCTATAACTAGGATTTCTGGATCAAAACAAAATAACTTAAGTACATTTGTATATATTTCATATATATACATCAGGTCCATCGTAAAAATAAATTCAAATAATTTAAAAAAAAAAAAAATCAAAAACTATAGGTACCTACTTGAAGTGTTAAAAAAATACATTCAGTAAATTCATTTATGATTTAGTACTTATAAAAAACGAACTTGGTCTAGTTTACAATCAATAATAATTAGGATAAATACAATATAATATTATAGTGTCGGCCAAAGATATGTTTCTGTATAATTCTACCTTAAAACTATGATCGGCGATCACAATAGTCATACAAAAACCAAAAAGTAAAAGTATATGTAATGCCCATATCATCGTAAAACCAATAGTTTACTAAATTAGGTATTTTAGAATAAAAACTATATTGAGTGGAGAGTACCTATTTTGAAAATATTAAAATTATATAAGATGGGTAGGTAATTCATATGAATAATTTTGTAGATAATATGCAATTTCGTTAGTTCTCAGGTCTATGCTTATCTTGTAACTAATTTTCGAAGTACAAAAAACAGCTTAAAAAAAATATGGTGGGCATACACATAGTTGTTGATAACTTAAAATACTTACCTACCTAGTTTTCAATTTAAATATTTATAGGCACTCATTTTAAATTTTGTCCAAAAATAACTTCAAAGATATAAACTGCTATTTATAGTACTATACCTAGTTACCTACCTAATTATTAACTAAAATCTGTATGAAGATCAATTCCATTTGAATAAACCTATTTATTAATTTCTATTCTTGTATGAAGTAATTTATTAACTATAATTTCTTAAAAAATAATTGTTATTATAACTTTAGGTAGTAATAGTTCCTTATTATACTATTGTGTCATACCATAGGTTTTCCTTGATGATGGCCTCAATCCAGTATTCCAGTAATTTATTTCTCCTGCTTTAATAATTTGATTTGATTACATAACTTATTAGACATATTTTATAGTTTTAAAATATAAAATTTAAACCGTTGAGATTTGAGAATAGGTACCTACCTATTTACATTTATATTTTGATATCTAATTTATTATGAATAAAAAAAACCACAATTACGATTTTAAATGACATATAATGATATAGGACATAAGTATATCGGGGTATAAATGTGAAGCGGCAAATGTTTAATGTATAATAAAAAATAATATTATAAAATACCTATTAAAATATACCTACTATAATCAATAATCTGCAAGATTTTTATAGGTACCTAAACATGATATTTGTAAATGTAAGAAAGTTTATATAGCATTAATTATATCGATCCAATCTAAATATAGGTATTAAATTACCTACCAATATTTTAAATAATTAGTGAAATGGGTCTTTATTTCTTATAAATAATTCATTATATCTCATTGACCCGTCAAAAATAAATGATTTAATTATGTGTATTATTACCTAATTATAATTTAAAAGATACCTATCATCGGTATGTTCAGTGATTGTGAGGATAGTGTGGTTCACAGACATAAATACATAATATAATGTAATATAATATTACGTTAATGCTCGTTAGTGATGTTAAATTATTTAATGTATTATTATGTGAAAAATTATATTATCCATTTATCCACGAACCTTCTTATATAATATATTATTATATTAATATATCATACCTTTATCATATTATATTACGGTAATGCTAGGTAGGCACCTCTACAAGACTACAAAATTAATCTAAACTTAACGATACTAAAGGTGCTAGATGAACGACCTAACCGTTCAACGTACATCGAAATTTGTAAAAACTATATTCTACGACTTTTATATATGGATTTAAAAATGTATGGTGTCGTTTATAAAAAGTGCCTATTTGGAGAAAAATTAATTTTTTTCAAATTAGTAATTTTATGTGACCTCAAATTATGTAATGAAAATATTTCCGAAAACCTTTATACTTTTCCAGATAAAACAATCACCCTGCTTTTCTACAATGTCATATAAGAATATTGACTATGTTGATCGCTACAGTGTCCATTCAATGTTATTCCAATTATTATCAATTAAATAAATGTTAAACAAAAATGGCAATAATATGAATATTGCATTTCCGATTGATTAGTTCATTATCAGTTTCAGTGTACCTATATAATAATACCAACTAGGTAAGTACCTATTATGATTC